GCTGCCTCATTGAAGGCCTGTTTTGAAACAGAATGGAGCTCGACAAATCATTAATAGTAGAGTATGAGGGGCGCCTCTTGTCTGCTTTCACCTTAAGGAAATATACAAAGGACATGTAAGTTCTTTGCAGATGAAGCGACCACTCGTTTGACTCAACGTAAAGGCTTTCTACGAGATGGTGCGAAAAGCACCCGTAGAAAGGCGGATGCCCAAATAGTGCACGGGATCCAGCATCTTCAAAGCACTTTGAGTCGCAGACTGATAGACAATGGCCCCATAATCTAAGCGGGTGCGAATGAGGCTTCTATACAGGTTCATGAGGCATTTCCTGTCACTACCCCACGAAGTACGTGACAACACTTTTATAACATTCATGGCTTTTAAACATTTTGTTTTTAAATACTTTATGTGGGGTACGAAGGTCAACTTGTTGTCCAAGATTAAGCCTAAGAATTTATGCTCGGCTTTGACGGACAGACGTTGCCCGTTCAGTCGAATGTCGGGTTCCGAGTGCATGCCTCTCTTTCGAGAGAACAAGACACACGTGCTTTTTTGTGGGTTAAGTCGAAATCCGTTTTCATCTGCCCATTTGGAGACCTTATTTAAACCAAGCTGAACCTGCCGCTCACACATGGCCAAGTTGCACGACTTGAAGCCAAGCTGAACGTCGTCGACATATGTACAATAGAACATATTGCGAGGAATGGACAAGTGCAAAGAATTCATTTTGATAATAAAAAGTGTGCAACTAAGCACGCCACCTTGTGGCACGCCTGTTTCCTGGACAAATGTTTGGGAGAGCACACTGCCCAGACGGACACGGAATGTCCGGTTTGACAGGTAACTTTCGATTATATGAAACATTCTTCCGCGCACACCAAGGTGGGACAGGTCTCTTAGAATTCCGTAACGCCATGTAGTATCATAAGCCTTTTCGATATCGAGGAACACAGGGGGAAATATTGTTTATGGACGAACGCGTCTCTGATCTGTGCCTCGATACGAACAAGGTGGTCTGTGGTGGATCTACTTTCTCGAAACCCGCACTGAAATGGGTCGAGCAAATTATTTGTTTCAAGAAAATGTACTAGTCGGCAGTTTATCATTTTTTCAAAAAGTTTACAAACGCAGCTGGTTAGTGCAATGGGCCTATAACTTGAAACTGAGGAAGGGTCCTTGCCCCGTTTCAAAATAGGGATAACAATAGCCTCTTTCCAGGAAGCAGGGATGGTGCCTGAAAGCCAGATAGCATTGTATAGAGAGAGTAAAGTTTTTCGCGTTTCGAGCGGCAAGTTTTTCAACATTTCATATGTGACACGGTCGTAGCCTGGAGCGGAATTATTGCAAGAGTTAAGTGATGTTTGTAGCTCAGCTAAGTTGAAAGGTTGGTTGTATTCCTCGTAATTTGTGCACTTGGATTCTAGTTTCTGCTTTTCTATCTTTGATTTGTGTCTTTGGAAAGCTTCAGTGTAGTGTGACGAGCTAGACACCTGCTCGTAGTGTGCACCGAGGAAGTTCGCTTGATCTTCCAGGCTATCACCCTGTGTGTTTACGAGTGGGAGTGAGTGTACTTGTCTTCCTGCTACCCTACGAACCATGTTCCAGACTTTAGCCTCTTGTGTATATGAATTTATCCCTGATAAAAACTTGTGCCAGCTTTCTTTTCTGGCCTGCCGACGCGTTCTCCTGCCTCGAGATTTTATTTTCCTAAAGCTCTCAAGGTTTTCCGCTGTCAGCGAGTTCCGCAGCAACCTCCATGCCCTGTTCTATTCCTTTCGCGCATTCTGGCACTCAGTGTTCCACCACGGAACGTGTCGTTTGCCGGGCAGTCCAGATGTTTGTGGAATGCACTTGGTTGCTGCGTCAGTAAGGAAAGCTGTGAGGTACTGCACAGCTTCATCTATGCCTAACCCGCATATCTCAGTCCAATTTAGGTGAGTAAGCTTTTGAAATCGTTCCCAGTTGGCTTTGTTTACCAGCCATTTGGGAACGTGTGGAGGACATTCATTTATTATTGGTGTACTCAAAACTAAAGGGAAATGGTCACTTCCGTATGGATTATTTATGACTTTCCACTGAAGTAATGGTACAAGTGAAGGAGATGCGATACTGAGGTCTATGGAAGAGTAAGTTTTGTTAGCAAGGTTATAGTATGTTGCCTCTTTCCTATTCAACAGACAAGCACCCGATGAAATGAGGAATTGCTCAATGAGACGACCTCGGGCATCACAGCGAGAGTCACCCCACAGACCATTATGTGCGTTCAGGTCCCCAAGGACCAGATAAGGTTCAGGTAGTTTGTCGATTAAAGACTGGAATTGAAGTTTTTCGAGACGGTGGTGCGGAGGTATGTACAAAGAGCAAACAGTGACAAGTTTGTTTAGAATGACTGCTCGGACAGCCACCGCCTCGAGGGAGGGGTAATTGTGTGCATGCTATACCTTGACTTACTATAACCGCTACACCACCGGATGGTAGCATGGCATCATCTCTATCCTTTCGGAACATTATGTAGTTACGTAAAAAGTTTGTGTTAGTTCGTTTTAAGTGTGTCTCCTGGACACACAGCACTCTTGGATTGTGTTCATGGAGGAGTTCTTGTAAGTCATCGAGGTTTCGAAGAAGGCCTCGGATGTTCCACTGTAATATTTCTGTCTGCATATTTAAACAAGAGAGATACTGCTGTGTGTACAAAGAGTATACTGTGTTGGAGTGAGCTCGTTAATTCAGGTGGCAGGACGGTCGTCTGGCCCCGTTATTGGTTTTTTATTTTTCTTAACGCGCTCCAAGGAGGCGCGCCGCTCTTTTGGTACCAAGGGTACCGTTGTATCCATTGCCTCCCCAGACGCACTGGTTGCCCGCACATGCGAGCTGGTGGTTCGGATTTTAGGCCTCGCCTGGTGAGGGGAGGCCTTGAGACCAGAGGACCCTGGAGTCTCCAGCCTCAATTCGCTAGGCGGCGGAGTAGACTGAACTACTGCCGCCTTGGGGGCAGGTGCCACAACCGTCGGCTCGCTCTGCGCTGGCCGAAGGAGTGACGAGGGCTGGTGCGGCGTTGCCCCCTGACGCGCCGCATCAGCATATGTAGCGCCATAAAATGGCGACACTCTTCGTCTTGCTTCCTTGAATGTGATGTTTTCTTTAATTTTGAATGTGATAATTTCTTTTTCTTTTTTCCAAAATGAGCAAGACCGTGAGTATGCGGCATGATTTCCGCCACAGTTCACACAGTGTGATGGTTCTTCGCAATTGTCAGAGTTGTGGCCTGACACTCCACATTGTGCACAAGTTTGGTGACCACGACAGCTTTGTGAGCCGTGGCCATACTTCTGGCATTTGAAACAACGACGTGGGTTAGGTATGTATGGTCTGATCGACGTCTTTGTGTACCCTGTTTGAATACTTTCTGGCAGATTACTGGAAGCGAACGTGAGTATCAGGTGTTTCGTAGGTGTTACCTTGTTGTCTCTTCTAATGGTGATCCTTTGTACATTGGTCACATTCTGACTCTTCCACCCCTCCAGAAGTTCCTCTTCAGTCAAGCCGAGCAAATCAGCATCAGAAACTACTCCACGGGTTGTGTTCATCGATCTGTGTGGCGTTACAGTGATGGGAGTGTCACCAAATGTTGATAGACTCTGTAGCTTTTCAAACTGTTCTTTTTCTCGAACTTCAAGGAGGAGGTCTCCGCTGGCCATTTTGGTAACTTTGTACCCGGCTCCAAGAGTTTCTGTGAGACATCTGGCTACTACAAAGGGTGATACGGTTCTAGCTTGCTTGCTGCTTATCTCACTATGTATAACATGAAAATGAGGGAAGTTTTCACTTGATCGGTTGAAAAAGCCTAAGTCTTCGTTGCGTACACGCTTTAAGGCGGTACGATCATTTAATAAGGGAAATGCTCTATGCATGCCAGTTTATTTTCTTCAGAAGCGTTGGCGGCCACCCACCACGGAGCCCAACGAGGGGACGCTACGAGTTTGTGGATGCTAAAACCTGCAGACGCCAGCCGTACAACGCAACTATAACCCAATGCGCCTAGACCAAGGTAGGCTATTTGCACAGGGTTAACCCTAGCCGCCAGGAAGTTTGGAAGCAAACGGAAGAGAGTAGAAGACAGGACAGATAAATAGTAAGAGATAAAGACGGAGATGTAGGGAGAGGGAGATAGGAAAAGGCGACTGCCAATTTCCCCTGGGTGGGTCAGCCCAGGGGTGCCGTCTACGTGAAGCCGGGGCCAAAGGGGTGTGTTGCCTCTGCCGGGGGGCCTTAAAGGTCCAATCACCCAGCGTCGGCTCAACCCCCAGGATCCCCTTTTCCCCGGACACGGCAAAGCCACGCACGGCTAGGCGTGGGAGGGAGTCAAAACTCCCCCGTTAGCTCGGGTCCGTGGTGTCGCTACACACCAAACGCCTACTTGCGCAGGCGCCCCTGCGGGGTCGTGTCACCCGCAGACTGTGTTCTAAGAACTATCTGCAAACAATGAAACGCTTGTGCGTAAGTGACACGATCGCGGCTTCCACGGACATTTACCGCCGCCACATTGGAGTGCAGTGACATAGTATAGAGCCAAGTTTTTAGAGTAGCGATTTTTTCATGTTTTTAGACTTATACACCTTTACAGTTTTACCGTTTTTAACCTATTTGTACTTACAGTTTTTAGCCCTTTCGTTACCGGATTTTAACTTTTACACTTATATCAAGTTTTCTGTTTGAAGTTTTTCTAACCATTATGATGTTATTGTGTATGTAATATTGAATAAAAGTGTTCTTATCAGCTTAATTAAGCTGACCCACTTTGATCCGCTGGCCTACGGTCGAGAGGCGTTCCCTCCCGGGGACTCGGCCACCCCGGGAAGGCGACGTGGCTGCGCCTGCCCTTGCGGAGGGGAACCTGCTGCTGCTGCTGACCGGTGGCGCTTCCCTTCCTGGACCTTGGACGTGTGGACCTGCTGACCCTGGAGGCTTTGGACGTCCTGGCTGGCCCTGGCGACCCCCGGATGCTGGACGGCGGTCAGTGTGAGTCAACGAATCGTTTCTTTGCTTGGCTCTTCGCCTGGCGCCTGCTGCATGCCCGGCCCGGTCGTCACCGCCTGCTGACGACGTCATCGGGCCACGGTCACCGTCGTGACCGCATCGCCGTCGTCGCCCACCGCCCGGCCCACCTGGTCCTGCCTGGCCCTGCTGCTTGCCGTCCGGTCCTGCTGCCTGCCGGGACCGCCGCCATGGATCCTGCCCGCCCGAGTTCCGCGAGGGGCCGTCGTGCCAGGCGGCGCCACGCTGCTGCCCCTACTGGCTCCCCTGGCACCACCCCCTCCTCAGCGACCTCGGCGCGGGACTCCGGGTTCTTCCGCGGCGGGCCCTTCATCGCCGGCGTCGACTGCGTCGCCCTCGTCGGGACCGGCTGGTTCCGAAGCACCGGCGTCCTCACGCCCTTCTGCCCCGGTGCAACCACGCCAGCCGGCCCTGGATGGCGACGTTCTGTGGGTTTATCTCCCGGCCCCGGCGGAGCTGCAGTGCCCGGTCGACAACTGCAGCATGAAGTACAGCGGGGCCGTTTGGACGTCTCGCGCGCAGACGGTGCGCCGCCACGTAGAATTCGAACACGGCGTTCGTGTGAACGAGCGAATCTATGTGTGCTCGGTGTGCGACTCGCCGCTCACGTTCCGGCCCTCGTACCACCACTGCCTGGCGAGGGCCACACTCGTGCCATCGACGGAGACGCCTCCCCTGTCGCTTTGGCGTGTGCGACGCAACGTTTACGACCAAGCGCGGCCTGGCCAACCACCTGCGATGCCACGTCGACCAGGCTGGGCCGTCCGGCGCCGCTCGCGAGTGCGCGCCTGCCCGGCATGTGCGCCATGTCAGCACGTCATCTTCCGACACGTCATCGTCCGCGTCGGGCTCTTCGTCGCCGCCAGCAGCACCCCGGGCTTCGCGACGCCTCAGGGGCTTATCGCCCTCTGATGCCGCACCTTCGGTGTGGCCCTCGTCGTCTCCGGCCGCCGGGTCGGGGGCCTCTTCGCCCGCGTCGATCGCCGAACCGTCTGCCTTCGTGTACCTGTCGTCCAGCGGTTCGTCGACGTCCGTGGGCTCGGCCTCCGTCCCCGGTTCGCCGACACCATCTCCTGCCGCAAGCCCGGCCCCCTCCGTGCAGCCCTTGTGCGACGCCGGAGAGCACGTCTTCACCTACGCCGCACATCAGTGTCCCGACGCCTGCCGGCGTTCCCGTGGACTCGCCCGTTCTCGGGTCACCACGGTCGCCGGATCCTGCGTCTCCAAGACCCTCGTCGTCTGCCAGGCAAGTCCTGGTACCGTACGACTTCGGGCCCTCGTCGTCGTCCTATGGCGCGTCTCCCGCCCCGCGCGGCTCGTCGGCGGCTTCGCCCGTTGGCGATGCCGCGTTTCTACTTGACGACGACAACACGATCTCTTACGACGTCGCGGTGTACTCGCCGCCGCTCGATGCCGGGTCGTCCCCGGTCGTTCTGCCCGGGTCCCCGGTGTCTCCTGCCTCCTCCCCGTCGCCACCCGCGTCCGTGGACGAGGCCGCGGCGGATCCCGACGAAGTACCAGAGCATCCCGAGACCGACTCCGACCCTCCAGATGCCACCGGACCACACGCGCCTCCTCGAGGACCAGGCACGCCTGCTCCGCTCCTTGCTGCGGGACCCGCCCACCGACGAGTCATGGGCCCAATGCGAGGAAGCATGGACGCGGGCCGTCGCCTTGGCTGTCGAGGCGGTGCGTCTCCCACCGGTGCGTCCTGGTCGCCAACGCCGCCAGCCCGACCCTTCGAACGCGTTCGACATACAGCGGCTGTACCGCCGCAACCGTCGACGCACTGTACGACTGATCCTGGAGGGACCGCCACAGACGTGCGTCATCCCGCTGCAAAGACCTACAGGATCACTGGGGGCACACGTGGTCGGCCCGCCAAGCCGACTCCACCCTGCTTCTCGGACGCGATCCGGCTCCGGCGGGCGTCGACACGTCGAACTTTTCGACCGACGAGGTGTACGGGCGCCTGCGCAAGTCAGAGAGCACGGCTCCCGGGGCAGACCGTCTAACCTATCACCACTGGCGAACGGTCGACCCGGAAGCACGGTTCCTGACGGCGTTGTTCAACGCCTGCCTCCACCACCGCCGAAGGCCGGATTCCTGGAGGACGACGCGGACCGTCCTCATCTTCAAGAGGGGGATCCGCAAGTCCCATCGAACTGGCGGCCCATAGCCCTCGGCTGCACGGCAGCGAAGCTTTATGCTAAGTGCCTTGCAGCCCGGCTACAGGCCTGGATGATCGAACACGCCGTATTGTCGAAGTGCCAGAAGGGCTTCCTTCCGCACGACGGCGTGTTCGAACTTAATTATATACTACAGCGCAGGCTCGACATCGCCCGATCGGGAGGCCCCGACCTGTGTGCGGCGCTGTTGGATTTCCACAATGGGTTCGGCTCAGTCCCGCACCAGGCTTTGCTCGACGCCCTGCAAGGTGCTGGCGCCGGCTCCGTGTTTACGGAGTTGATCGGCGACTTATACCGCGACAACAGCACCTGTATCCTGGCGGCCGAGGGAACTACCGAGCCGATCCCGGTCCTGGCAGGGCGACGTCAGGGTTGCCCACTGAGTGGAATTTTATTCAACTTAGTGATCGACCCAGTCGTGCGCGCAGTCTAGGGTGGTGCTTCCGACCACAAGATCCTGGCCTACGCGGACGACGTGACTCCCCTGGCCTCGACCCCGCGCAGACTCCAGCAGCGCAACGACCGGATCGAGACCCTCGCCGCGTCCCTGGGCCTGTCCTTGAACCCGTCCGAGTGCGCGTCTTTCCACATGGTCGGATCACACCTGTGGGGATGCGCCAGACGGATATCCGAGTCTCGGGCGTCCCCATCTCGGTGCTGCGCGACTTCGAGCCGCAGCGGTACCTGGGACGTCCGATTGGTTTTCGGATCCCCTCCGGCTCCGGTTCCGTCATCGAGACCGTCCTCGCCCAAGCCCAAGGCGATCATGTCGTCAATGTTGGCGCCGTGGCAGCGTCTGGATGCCCTCCAGACCTTCGTCTACCCGGCGCTCAACTTACCGGTGCGATGCGGCGTCTTGTCTACGACGGACTGGCGCCGATTGGACGACGCCATTCGGCCGCTGGTAAAGCGGACGCTTTACCTTCCCACCAATGCGGCGACAAACTACTTATACGGATCCGCCTCCGGTGGTGCCGTCGGGATCCCCGTTGTGGCGGAGCTTAGCGCCTCTACCTTCAACTCCGCCTTCAATCTTTTGACATCCCCCGACACCGAGCTGCGGCAGATGGCCTTGGACGACGCCTTTGCAACCGCCACTGCCCGCCTCGGCTGGGAGGTCACCCGCTTTGAGCTGGAGTCCTACCTCGGGGGGTCGCTTGGAGACGGATTCCGGGTCCCGGCCACCCAGCTGCGATCCGTCTGGACAAACGCCCGCAAAGCGTCACGCCGCTACGTCGCCTGGACCCTGGATCCTGGCGGCGTCCGGCTCACCTGCGGCGACGCAACGATCACCCCACAGCACCGGTGCCGCGTAATGTGCACGCTACGAGAAGTGCTGGCCACCGAACGGGACCGGCCCTGCACAACCTCCCCAACCAGGGAAAGGTGCTGGCCTGCGTGGCGGCTGATCGCGCCAGCTCCCACTTCATGCGGACGGGCGCCTTCACCTCCTTCGCGGACTGGCGATTCATGCATAGGGCCCGCCTCAATCTCCTGCCCCTCAACGGCCCTCGCATGTGGGGCGCACCGGACAGGAACCAGCGGTGCCGCGTCTGCAGGTACCTGAGGGAGACACTGCCGCATGTGGTATGCCACTGCATGCCTCGCAGTGCGCTCTACCGGGTCCGCCACAACGCCATCGTCGACCGCTTCCGGACCGCCGCCTCCCACGAGTTCACGGTGGCCTTTGAGAACCAGGCCGTCGGAGACACGGGCCTGCGTCTGGATCTCGTCCTGGTGCGTGGCAAAGAGGCTATCGTCATCGACATCACGTGCCCGTTCGAGAACACGCCGGACGCCTTTGAGAACGGCCGTAACGCCAAGATGGCTCATTACGAGCCGGTGGCGGCGTTTCTCCGGCGCCGGTATCAGCGGGTCACCGTCCACGCCGTCATCGTGGGTGTCCTCGGTGCATGGGACTCTGCGAACGATCGTGTACTACGTCGCATTTGTTCGCGCCCCTATTTGCGCCTCTTTAAAAAGCTTTGTGTAAGTGAGGTAATTGCTGCATCTCGCAAAATTTACCAAGAACACTTACGTCAAAGTCACTAACTGCCTCGCATCCACATGTGACTGTGCATGCAAAGCTAACATGGGTGTGCGTGTTTGCCCCTAAGCAATTTCTGTCTTGCCTTGCGATGTTTTTCATTGTTACGTGACAGGCGCCTTTTTCGCCCGCGTTGTGCCACGACAACGCCGTTAACCTCGTCGCGAGAACTCTTTGGCGCAAGTCATGTCTAAAAGTCGGACTCATTCACCTATGGCCCCATGAAATATCAATAAAATCATTACTGACCACCTGAGGCTGCCCAATCGGGACTCGCGCCAAACACCATCTCGGCGCGAGATTAACCCCGATAACCCCTCCCAGATACAGGCTCTTTACAGGAGGAACCAGCGCCGGGCCGTCCGGCTGATTGCGGAGGGCCTTTCGCAGCTCTGCCCCATTGACCCAGGCACGCTTCACGGCTACTACACCGGCCTCTGGTCCCCGGCAGCAGCGGACACGACAATCCTCAAGACGCGAGCCCCTACCAACGAGGAACTGGACCTCTGCCCCTTCTTGGACGAAGAGGTCGCAGCCAAGCTCCGAAGGTGCGAGAGTACAGCTCCGGGAGAGGACGGCCTAACTTACCACCACTGGAGGCAGGTGGATCCTGAAGGGCGGTACCTTGCAGCGGTATTCAACGTCTGCCACCAATACCGCTGCACACCCCGGAGCTGGAAGTCGACGAGGACGATCCTCATTCACAAGAAGGGCGACCGCGAGGACCCCACAAACTGGTGACCCATTGCCCTTGGTCGAACGATCGATAAACTGTATGCTGGGTGTCTCACCACCCGGCTGCAGCGGTGGTTGGGCGACCATGCGGTACTGTCCAGGTGTCAGAAGGGCTTCTTGCCGCACGATGGGGTGTTTGAACACAACTTCGTGCTGCAGGGACGCCTGGACGACGCCAGGACGGGAGGTGGGGAGCTGTGCGTGGGGTTCCTCGATTTTGCCAACGCCTTCGGCTCGGTCGCCCATGAGGCCCTCGTCGACGCTGTCCGCGGCGCCGGCGCGAGGGAGCCCTTCGCGGAGATCGTAGAGGAACTCTACCGCGCCAACACCACCTGCGTCGTGGCAGTTGACGGCACCACGGAGCCCATCGCTATTGGAGCGGGCCTACGCCAAGGCTGTCCCCTGAGCGGCCTGCTGTTCAACCTGGTGGTGGACCCCATCATCAGAGCGGTGCGAGCGGCCTGCTGTTCAACCTGGTGGTGGACCCCATCATCAGAGCGGTGCAGGGAGGCGATAGGCAACACAACATCCTTGCCTACGCCGATGATCTGACGCTGCTCGCCGGGGATCCCGCCACCTTGCAGCGCCGCCTCAACGTGGTGACTGCCCTTTCGGAACCCGCTCGGGCTGCGACTGAAGCCTGCCAAGTGCCGCACCCTCGACCTGTCCGGGCGCTACCCGGTGGGAACACGGCCCACCACTTTCACTGTGGGGAGCGTCCCGGTCCCGGCATTGGCGGACTTCGAGGGGCACCGGTTCCTGGGGCCTCCTGTGGGGTTTCGGGTGCTACCGGACCAGACGATGGTCGACGAGGCCATCCATCTCGGCAGACGGCTGCTCTCCTCCATGCTCACCCCATGGCAGAGGCTGGATTCTATTAAAACATTTTTGTATCCAGCCCTCAACTTGGCCATGCGGGTGGGCCTTGCCAGCAAAGGAGAGTGGCATCGCTTGGACGAGGAGCTTCACTCGCTGATCAAGAAGACCCTGTATGTGCCGGCCAGAGCGTCAAATGAGTATGTGTACGGGAGCGCACATGCCCGCACTGCAGGAATCCCTCTTGCGGCGGAGCTCAGCAAATCTGCCGAGTGGACGGGGCCTTCAAGCTCCTGTCGTCGACTGATCTGGAGATCCGGGAGCGAGCGAGGGAGAAGCTCAACCGGGTGGTGTCGAGGCGGCTGAGGCGACCAGCGGACATGGACGACACCGAGGCCTACCTCTCAGGCGAACGGAGGGCGACTTCCGGCAGATTGCGACCCAGCTGCAGTCTGTCTGGACGGAGGCACGCAAAGCCTCCCGTCGCCTGGGAGCTTCTGGACCAGGGTGCCTGCATTACCTGCGGAGAGGCCACGGTGTCAGCGCGGAACCGCAACAAGCTGATCAAGATCC